TTTATCACTTGAGGTGATTTCTTCTTATTGTCATATTGCCGTAGTATTGGTTTTTTTTTAATATTATTTGCTTCAATTTTCTGCTTTGTAAAGTATTTACTAAAAATTACTCAAGTGAATGTTACATCAATTGGAAAGATGAAAACGTCTCATGGAGTAGAATAGGACCCCATATATAGAGCTTAAAGATTCATAAGTAAAGTATTGCTGACTCTTCCTCCATCGATAGGGTTGAGAAAAGACGGTTTATGTTTTTAAGGTGATAAAAGTAAATAGGTATTTACTTAACATTTTCGCAGGGACGATAATGTCTTCTCGTGGCGATTATTCGACGTAAGCAAAATATTTTACACAAAGCCCGGGTCTCGACATTAACACTTTACCTAATGGCGCAAGGGTATTACGGGTATACGTAAGAACGAAAATCGTTAGGATAAGGAATTTTAGAGGTCACTAATGTGGCATTAAATTTTTCTTAAATGGAAATTGGAAAAAAATAGTTGATTTCTAATGTTTTCAAAATAACTGAAGATTACTTTCGACCTGAACTTCATAGACTATTCCCAACCGTCGCCCCGCTCTGTCCCCACATTGAGACAGATGAGAATAAAATTTTTCATCCGTGCCACCTTTTGCGACGAGGGGACGGTTGGAACTAATTTTATTTCATAACGGTTCCATCGTTCACCTTATTGGTGATGGACTAAAAGGTGGGACGGCTGAAACTTTTTATCTCACATGGGGACAGAGCTTGGTGACGGTTGGGAATAATCCGACTTCGTTCCTACGGGAATTAAAGTTTATACGAGTAACTGTTGTACTGAGAACCGTGTAAAGGATATTCTTAGAATTAATTTGGAATGAGAAATTAACCGCCTAAGTAATTTATGCATTAAATAAAATATTTTAAATAGGTAAATAGCGTTACCCGAACAATGAATATATCAATACTGTCGTTGGCAATACGTGAACACCTTCTAATAATAATGATTGATCACCGGTCGTTTGACCTCATAAATTATACATCAATAACCGTGCTGTTTATGAATTATGATATCCGTAGTCAGCAAGGATGTGAAGGTTATAATAATTTCAAGTATAACATAGAATGTTTTTTTTTAATGAAATACTAAGATTAATTGAAAGAACAAAGATATAAAGCCACTTCAGCAGAGTCTACGGACGTAAATTCAAATTTAAATAAACGAGCTAAAAAAAGAACTGCATTTTTTCAATAATATAGTTAAACGCTGTATAGTTAAAAACGTATTTTATTTCTGATTCCGCTGATTGAATTGTGGACGACAATATAGTTAAAAATACACCATAAATACATATTATCAATTGCTTACGGAATAAGTACTCTAAAATTTATTGGTTAAGGTCGAATTTCGCGAGCCAAATTTCAATAACCATAGTCTCGAGCAATATTCGTGATAGAAAATATCTAAGGTAGGTTTAAACTAAAAGTATTTGAAATACAATTAAGTTTTATTATGGTAAAGCCCTCATAATTTTTGATACAATGCTATAAACAGAGGTAGAGCCCGCTTTAACATCTTCGCACGAATGGGTCGCCTTGCCCGGTGCTATACCACAACCACACAGAAAACAGACTTGAAGTGGAAGCTATTCCGCGTTACGTCTGATGAGTGTGGTGCCGGAGGCCTAATCTTAGCCCCTTTTCCTGTCCACTCTTTTCTTAAGGGGAAAGGATGTAAAGGAAAAGTGAATTTGACGGTGGAGGAGACGCATAGGAAGGGGAAATGTCCTCCTTATGTGCGCTTCCTCCTCCGTCAATTAAAGGCAACGCATCTGCAATTTCCGATGTTTATGGGCAGTAGTCGCTTTTCATTTCGGTGGATTCAGTTTGCCGCTTGCTCGTTTGCTACCCTATAAAATAAAAATAATAATAATAAAAAAGAAATACATTTCTAACGAATCATACATGAGTACTATTGAGCGGTTTGTCGCACTGCACTACAGTACCTTGGCCCTTTAACCTTAGCTAAGGTATTGTACACATGAGGCTGCTACGGATCCGAGAACGCTTGTTTCGGATGCAGTAGTTAACCACATCAAATAACCTCAATAAAGACGGCACCAATTTAATGGCGCAATTACAAAAGGTAATTTAAAAAAACAAAAATGGAAAAAGTGTATACTACGGACAAGAAAAAGTGAACTTTGCAGATAAAAGAATGATCTCCTGATGGCTCTAAAGAAGTAATATTATTAAGTGAATGGCGAAATTTTTATAAAATACTAGCTTTCACTTGCAACTCTGTCAGCGTGGAATTGCTAAAAACCAAAAGTAAGTCTATGTGTTCTTCCGGAATACGTCGTCGTTCGTCTACATCTGTGCCAAATTTCATCGAAATGCGTTCAGGCGTTTAGGCTACAAACTTTAACAAACATCCATTTAAATTTTCGCATTTATAACATTAGTATGAGTCTTGAATTGAAGACATACCGATAGGTATCCGCTTAGTGTGTAATAAGCCTTAGGTTGAAAAGGCCAATCAGAACGAGTTACTCGTGTGCTGATTATACTGGGAATGGTAAACAAAAGTCATCTCACGACGGAAGTAGAGTGTAATGATGACGTCACTCGCAACGGTTTGGTGCAAATCAAGTGCTTTGGAACAACACAGCTGCATGTGGCAGAATTTGAATCTAGAAAACTTTTTTTTTGTCAATGAATGGCCACTTGCCTTGAAGAGGCATTGACAGGTTCACCAAGCTTGCGGTGGCTGAGTGCAGAAGGCGGTTAACCTAACTCTCGTTTATTAGTAACTAATCTAGAGGGCTCCCTAAGCGGCCACGGCTCGGGTCGTTACTTCGTTAGTTTCGTTCTAGAAAACGAAGATAAATTGTCTTAAAATTGACACATTATATTGTTTCTCTATATGTGCTCCACATGTTGAGAGGAATGAGAGATATCTATAGGGTACGAATATGTCAGTGGAGGTTTACGGTTAAAAAGGCGGTAAAAACAAAACCATTAAACCTTGAGTCGTAAACACAAGCCAAGGGATTCATACGTCATGATCAGTCTTTCACGAGCTGTTGCCGCCTCTCGATAAGTGTATTGGATAAATTTTTCATACCAATATTTTGGATTTTTAAATGTTTTTTTAACAAAATTATGTCCTTTAGAAAATTATAAAGTAGTTACTGTATGCACGTTTTATGTTCAAATGAGTAAGGTTTTAGCGTGCCATAAATGGAACATGACATGATATTTTAGGCATGTCAATCATAAAAACGAGCGTCGGTGGCTCAGTGGTTTAAGCACTTGACTTGTAATCTACTAACAGGTCTTGGGTTCGAATCCCGCCATGTACCAATGTGATTTTTGATTTTTCGAATTTTCATATGTGTATAATTTACCCGACGTTCTTACGGTGAAGGAAAACATAGTGATGCCTGCACATATTGCGAAGAAATTCAAAGATATGTGTAAAGTCAACCAACCCGCATTTGCCAGCGTGGTTGACTATGGCCTAGACACCCCTTATTAGGATAGGCTACTCAGTGGTGACGTATATTGAGCTGGGGATTATGAAGTAGCACAATGGAATTGACGTAATAATCGCAGTCTAAATTACTCGATGGCACGTCTAAGACAGCATTAAACATTCTTAAAAAATATTGCACTTTGATGCATAAATGTTCGCCATCCCTGACCTAGATGGTCTTAAGATGGAGTAAGTAGTAAGTCATAGTTTTGTTTTAATTAACTTGTACTTTACTGACCGGGTAAGATAACTAGTCTACAGTTGTTAATATCATTTGAGAGCTTTGCTACAAATAAGGCTGCGTACATATGTCGGGTAATGAAAAGTTCACAACTCCCTTTGTATTGAAACACTAAAGATTCCAGTGTAATTTAACTTTAGCCCGTTATAACTTCCCGGAACGTTGAAGATTCAATCTAGATACATTGTCTTAATACAGTTCAGCGAGAAATTGTAAATCGAACACTACAATGTAGATTGCTTCAGTTAAGAGATATTTTTTTAACTTAAATTGAAAAGCGTTTACAAGTTACAAGTAATATTGTTATAAATGTAATTCGTTAATGATTAATTAATTAACTATTAAGTCTAGATTAAACAATAAAATTAATGTTTATTTACCCTGTAACCCTGAGATTTATTTTAAACAGTAATTTGTTTGTATGAACTAGAGAAAAATAATTGTTAATTTCCCCTTTTGCTTTTTAAAATGTTGAATATTGTACTCAATAAATATCTCACTAGTATGCGAATTATAAGATTGATGGATGGATGGATGGATGTTTGTTAGAGTTTACCGTCTAGCCTTGAGGATAGTCTGGAAGAATACATACTTACTTTTTTAATTTACGCAGACGGAGAAACGTGCAAAACCTAGTATAAGATAAAGTGTACCATAAGTCCTTTAATTTCCTATTACTTTCTACGAAATAGTCGATGTCACTTTGTGTCTCGGCAGTGGAAACTATGAGTAATCATATAAATAAAAGTTTCCATTTCCCGCAGCTTAACATCGTCAATACATGGTGGAGCGAGTGTCGCATGTCGATATGTCGCAACATACTCCAACAGTAAAGACGCTATTGATCCATGTCACACAAAGAAAGAAGAGCAAAAGCGAAGCGTTAAATATAGCGGACAGGTATAGAAACATACTATTTGCTAAATATAAAATTTTCATACAATGACCTTGTTTTAAACGGAATAAATGTTAATACAAAGGTAAAGAAAGGCCTAAAAAGAATCCTTAGAGCACGCGCACACCTTTAACAAAACTATCGCACATCTGTTTAGTCCCGCTTTGATTCCTATGAGCTTATATGGGGGTGCGCACACTACTCGATTTTTAGTTGTGCAACTAAACAGTTGAATTGGTTGCGAAACAATCCACAATCGCACAAGTCAAAAGTGTACGCCCGCTCTAAGAATCATCATCATCAACTATACGTCCCCACCATGGGGCTCGGAGCCTACCCTAATAAGGGGTGACTAGGCCATAGTCAACCACGCAGGCCAAGTGCGGGTTGGTTAACTTCACACATATCTTTGAATTTCTTCGCCGATATATGCAGGCATCACGATGTTTTCCTTCACCATAAGAACGTCGGGTAAATTATGTACATATAAAAATTCGAAAAATCGAAAATCACATTGGTACATGGCGGGATTCGAACCCAAGACCTGTAGATTACATGTCAAGTGTTCAAACCACTGAGCCACCGACGCTCCTCTGAGGATACTATATTGTAAATATTTCTCTATAACTAGTCAAGTGCATTTTCATATATAATATTCATAGCTTTGATATCGCTTTCTGTGTGCTGCAAGGATAAACATCTCTCCGTGTTATAGATGGATAATGACAAATGAAACGAGTGGCGCCAGTTCCGAGTAGCAATATCAATTATAGATACAGTTTATTTCGCTCGACCACTCCAAAATACTTGTGACAGGACAGTAATAAATATATTGTATTTACTTTTCGAAAACGATACCCGAAAGCGAACTTTTTATTTATTAATTTTAACATATATATATTAACTATGAACCTCCATCTATACTAATATAATAAAGCGTAAACACACACTTTGTGGCGTAAGATGTCAGCAATCACGGCACATTTTTGAATAATTCTTTCTTTAATAAAAAACCCTACACTTACGACACGCTTTAGGCTATATATTTTCACACTATTAAACTTAGGAGGTAAATAAATTGGAAAACATCCTTATGTCAGCAAGAGACCATAGACTACAAGCTACCAACATTAAGAGAGCAAGGTTGACATTTTAAAAAAAATTGTCAAAACAAACGCTAACAAAAAAATAAAGTTATTATAATTTCGTGCGGATGAAATAGCACGGGAACAGCTAATTTTGTATAAAAATCCATGTTTACAATATAAACGAAATTCTCATACACATACCAGAAGAAAAGTATACGCGTCTAATTTCTCTTGAGAACAACTTGAAAAGGAATCCAATTGAATTGAGGCTAAGCAGGATTATATTGTACAAAATACAATTTCTAAGAAATTTTTACTCTACAATAAATTAATTTAAAATATAACAAAGAATTTTTCTTATTCCATACATCACCATCATCATCCTCCTTATCCTACTCCCGTAGGGTCGGCACAACAGGTTTTTGGCCTCCAAATAACTCTATCATACGTCATCTCAGTCACTCCCTTTTGATCATGTCACCTTTCACGCAATCCATCCATCTCTTTCTAGGTCTACCTCTACCGGTGTACTCTTCCATACTCATGACTAACGCTCTCCTTGTAACACCTCATAACATGCCCATACCATGTTAACCTTTTACTCCTTACCTTCTCTACCACTGGGGCTACTCTCAAACTTCCTCTAATTCTTCTTATTTCATACCTCAAACATTTTAAGGATTATTTACCAGTTAGTTTTCTATTTAAAACATTTTTAATTCATAAACCTATTTCCGAGTTTATTATACCCATCATCTACGCAGACGAAGTCGCAGGACGAACATAGTAATGACGAGTGAAAGTAAATTTCGAAAGAAAACTTTTATCACGCGATTTTATATGACAAACAATAATACGTTACCACGAAAAGAAAAATAAATGTGTTGTTCTTAGAACAGAATATTTAATACACTCCTAAGGAAATATTCAAACTGTACATGTGACTTGAAAATCATGTTTTTCCAAGAAATGGTCTGTTGTGAGAAACAATACAGAATATAACATTTTGATTTTCCAAGAATTGGTTAGAAAATATTTGAATAAAGAATACCTTTGTTTTCCAAAAGCGAATCGCGTAGGAATTTCTTGTATCATGTCAAAATAACATAACATTAAATTATAGTGTGTCTGTGTGTCTAAATAAGATAGATTAGTTTGACATTACATTTCAAATTTACTAGGGATGGGTTGTGTAAAATCAGTCATGAATCTTATCGATTTTCGATTTTTATTCTCATAGAAGTTTGAAACGATAGATTCGTAGTTATAACTTATGAATTAAGAAAAAAAACACTGTTTTTTGTTTTTCACTTTTCACTCAAATTAATAATGACAGTAAATAAATGTTTATTACTTTACTACAGCCGTACCTAATCGAATTGGTTTTCGCTATTATTTCTGTCATCGCTAAATTCTCTATAACCAATACTAGAATTGTCCTCTAAATTAGTTAGTAAGAAAATAACAATTTTAGTTGATTTCGATAATTATTTAAACCGTATATCGATAGGTCATAAATGTTCGCTACGCTTGTTTGTTTCGTCACTACGATACCTGTTTATTAAGTACGGCATTTGACTTCATACAAATTTACTTCGATACTTCATATGCGTCATTTATCAAACTAATCTATATTATTTAGACAAACTATAGTAGTTAATTCATTTAAGAAAAATCGAAATTAGACACAATTATATATGCCCTCTGTGCTATAGTCTTGAATGGTGATAAATTTTAGGTGAGCCTTTGTTTTGTTAGTTATTTAAAATTAACAAAAAAACAAATGCCTGTTAAAATCAATTAGCAATTGTTTTTATTAACAGTCGTAAAATAAAACGCGTATCCTCTTACACTTATTAACAGCTTTCATTTATTACTTTAATTAGAAAATGTCCCCCGAAATAATATTTATTGCGTACCTCGTAAACGGCTTAATGAGATGTTTTTATTTGTCGAATAACTTGTTATTGTTCATTAAAACGATCGCAAACATGTAATGGATAGTTTTACGAGTGCAAATAATTGATCAATACATTTTTTGTTGTGGCTTTTATTACAATAACTAGCTGTTCCCATGCGATTTCATTCGCATAAAATTATGAAAATTTTATTTTATTGTTTACATGTGTCAAATTATCAATTGCAAATGTCAAAATGACATGACAAGATGACAATGCATGGCAACCTGGCTTCCTTAATGTTGGCAGCAACTTATGGTCTCTTTCCTACATAAGGGTTTTTATCCAAAATATTTACCCAATAAGTTTAATGGCGTGAAAATTTAGCCTAAAGCGTAAGTGTAGGGATTTTTATTAAAAGAAGAATTATTCAAAAACATGCTGTAATTGCTGACATCTTAGGCAACAAAGAAGTGTGTGTTTACGCTTTATTATAATAGTATAGAAAAGACAACGAAAATCATTGCCATAGATAGAGAATATAAGTAACAGTAACAACAATTTTTCTAATTTAAAAAAGAAAATACTAAAAAGCGAAAAAATAACTCCTTGAATTTTTAGACCTCTTTATTGTAGCTGTTATGTCTATATTGTACAATTATTATTACTTTGATGTCGGTGTCAGCCGAGGTATGCAGTGATATTTATACGTTAGGCTTTCTACGGTGTCAGAAAAAATTAAAAAAACAAATAGTCATGTATAGTTGTACAAAATTAACAAGATATGAAATATTAATTTTCTAGGAAGTGTAGATTTTCCGAGAATTACTCCGATGCGGTAACGTCTACGAAATTTCTGCGAAAAATGAATTTTTACTTTGAACAACCATTGTCTACCATATCTTTTAGTGCAACCATTCTGAGAATCAGAAAAATATGGTACGGAAAGCATTTTTCCATGTAATTGATATTTATTTCATATAAAATCTGAAATATTTCCGGGCTTTTATGTTCTTTATTAATTATACATAGACAGACAAAAAAAAATTAAATACGAATTTTTCTTTTCATATTACAAACAGACACTCCATATTATACGTATACCGTTAAGAATAAAATTAATACCGCGCTGTAGAATTAGCGCAACACTAGATTATCGGTATAAACGTCACGTCCCTAGCTGACAGCTGTCAATGTCATTAGAAGGATGGATATTCGCGTGCATTCCTAGCAGGACAGCTAGTTCAATGTGGTTCAGTGTTTAAATTATCGCTAGTTTGATTACATTCATTGTTTAAAAATAGATAAACGAAGTCATCTCTCTGGCCTTATCCAACTCACACAGGAGTACAAGGTTTTGTAAACCTTTATGTTTTAGTCAGCTTCTCTGTCGCCAGTATTAAATCCGTGGAATTTAACGGTAATATGATACACTTAATTTTAAAAGCAAATGAACTCGAATTTCAAACATTCTCAGGTTCTTAGGAAATGTAGTCATTACTCAATGTCGAAACTTGGTTATCACTAAACTGTCTATTCCTTTATAGATCTTTTTAAATTTTACTTAGTCTGCATTTTTATTTAAATAAAAATACTATTTTTCTTTTTCATTTTAAAATACTAGCTGTTGCTGACGACTTCACTCGCGTGAAATTAAAATATATAGCCTATGTTCCTCACAGATAAAATACCTTTCTAACGGTGAAAGAATTTTTAAAAATGGAATAGTAGAAATAAAAAAAACAAATGTTTTCTTTTTATAATATTACTATAAGAAGGTAATAAGATATATCTTAGTAACAGAATGTAAATATATTAAATTCGTAAAACAAAATAGCATCACGTTCGAAACTTATGTACTTTTAGAATGTACACCAGTTTTAAAATACCAGATAATAGCATAAAACAAAACAAAAGAATCGCGATCTCTGTAAATAGCTTGAGAAAAGAACATTATTATAGTAAACAATTTTTGCCAAAATTGGAATAAACTGTTTCTGGAATTCATAATCGTTAAAATAAGAATCAGGTTCTGTCACTACAGTTGTTTTTTTTTTATTAAAAGGTGGCAAACGAGGAAGCGGCCACACTCATCAGACGAAACGCGGAATTGCTTCCACTTCACGTCTGTTTTCTCTGTGGTCGTATGTCCTATTCGTGCGAAGATATTAAAGAAACTTAATCTTTATACTAATATTATAAAGAGAAAACATTTGAAAATATGAATTTTTGTATAACTCTAATTGTGAAATAACTCAAAAACTCCTGGGCCGATTTCAAAAATTCTTCCGCCATTGAACAGCTACGTTATCTGAGAGCAACATAGGCTATATTTTTTATGATTTCTTTAATATCACGCGGGCGAAATCGCGAGCAATAGCTAGTAACTCTATAAGTTTTCGTCACCAGCAACGCGGAAAGATCTTCAGATAGCTATAATATTGATGGATCACCGGCCTTTCCCCCTCATAAATAATTCTTCAAGAATATAAAGGTTTAGAGAATACACAAAACTTGATACTGGAAGCGTCTCGATTTGATAAAAACGAAATTATCTGTAGTTATTTGATTTAAAAATCTTGTAAAATGGAGAGTAACTACGCATTAAGACTTTCATCGGTTTGATTAAAGATGGCGCTACCTATCCCTTACATATACTTTCATTTCGCTCGCGACTTCGTCCGCCTGAAATTAAAAAATATTAAAAAACGTGGTCTATGTTAGTCACTGAAAACGTAGCTTTTTAACTGTAGAGAATTTTTGAATTCAGTCCAGTATTTTTTTATTTATTTCAATACATACAAATATACAAATCTTTATAATATTAGTATAGACACATATAAGCATAAATAATTTAAATACTAAAGTAAGAAAACGATCTAATCATACTAATGTTATAAATGCGAAAGTTTAGATAGATGGATCGATGGACGGATGGACGGATGAATGTTTATTAGAGTTTGTAGCCTAAACCGCTGAACGGATTTCGTTTAAATTAAGCATAGATATAGAGGATAGTCTGGAAGAACACATAGGCTACTTGCATTTGTTTTTTTCATTTCCGCGCGGACAGGGTCGCGAGCGAAAGCTAGTAAGTAATAAAAAATGATCTAAGTAAACTTTTGTCATTTGATTCTCGCGTTACCCCGTAGCGGCGTGTACACAATAATTTATTTGAACACAAAAGACAGTATTTCAGTTGTAAACGTATGCGAATCTGAGTAGGGTCGCCTCGGGTCGGGGTCCCGTGAAAACCTTTCCCACTATCATTCAACGTCAGACCTCTTATTTATCACTAAATATTATAACTGTACTCTATATTACGTATAACTCACATTTCAAACGTTTGTGACGAATGAGCATACTTTTTTTACTTACTAATATTATAAATGCGAAAATTTAGATGGATTGTTGTTAGAGTTTGTAGCTTAAACTGCTGAATCTCGATGAAATTTGTCATATTTAGAAGATAGTCTGGAAAAACACATAGGCTACTTGTTTTTATACTTTTTAATACCACACGGACGAAGTCGCAGGCAAAAACTAGTACTTTTATCAAACAGAACTTTAATTCCAAGCACTGGGATGGATTTCTCTTTCGTAATTTAATAATACATCTATCATCAACGAGCAAGCGGCTACCTATAACCGCCAAATTGGCGAAGCGACCGCTGCCCATAGACATTCGCAATAGCGGATGCGTTGCCTACCTTTAATGGCCGGAGGAGGAGACGCACATAATGCGGATATTTTTCACCGTCCAATCCACATTACC